TCAAAGCTTTGCTCGTCTATATCACTCTTCACCGTCATACCGTTAGCTTCAATACTTACAACTACTGTTATTCCCAAATATCTCAAAAGCCCTCGTCTGTCATTGTTGAAGAAGGACAAAATGTGACCCTGGTTTGCAAAGCTACTGGTCAGCCGACACCAAAAGTAATGTGGCGCAAAGCGTTTGGTTACGTGACCGTGAAAGTGAATATTGTGGTGGCAGGTTGGAATATGACCATACTCAGCGTTACGAAAGCAGACGGTGGAGTTTACTCATGCTCGGCAAGAAATCTCCTAAGCGAAGATTCTGCTGTTGCATTAGTGACAGTGATCGACAGGCTCAGATTCATTTTGGCTCCGCCCCCGACGATTGTTGTAAAATGGAGCAGCGACATAATATTAAACTGTGCGGCCCACGGCAAAAAAGATATTCTTTGGGAAAGACAGAGCCAAGCACTTCCTAATAATGACGCCATATTTTCAAATGGGACATTGCTTCCGAAGATGATTTCCCCAAATGACGCCGCAACTTACAAATGCGTAGCGAAAAATAGAAGCAACGTCTGTTGTTAAAGTGCTAAGCTTAAAACCCAAAACCTGCAGCGAGATAAGATCTAGACACGCTGAAAACTCTTCTGGTAATTACATTATTGACCCAGATGGAACAGGTGGCGTGACTCCATTCAGTGTATATTGTGATATGAGTGACAAAGGCGGAGTTGGCGTGACGGTCATTAGTCACGACAGTGAGAGCAGGACCTATGTTAATTACGCTATTGGATGTAACCGCCCAGGATGTTACTGCAAAGATGTTATTTACGCAGGAGCGACTACTGCTCAACTGGCGGCGCTTACTCAAGTCTCACAGAACTGCGAACAGTTCATGACGTATGAGTGCACAAATGGCCAACTGTTTCTTGAGCATAGCTATGCCTGGTTGGTGTCCCGTGACGGAACAAAGATGAACTACCGGAGTGGAGCTACTGGCTATGACAACATGTGCGGATGTGGAGTAACAAATGCTTGTTCCGCAGACAGTAGGAAGTGCAACTGCCCACCCAACAGAGGTTGGAGTGAGGACAGTGGCTTGTTAAAAGATAAGTCCACTCTTCCTGTGTCACAAATCAGACTGGGAGAATTAGACCATGCACAGGAGCAAGGTTATCACACGTTAGGAAAACTCAAATGTTTTGGACAAGGATAACTGATTGTTATGCGATGAAACATTACGACGCTCCCATTTATTAGTTCGACCCTTGCATGTGAAGCCGGCTGGAATACATTTGATTAATAACAAAACTTTTGAAGTGCACCTTTACAGTGGCAAAGTTTAATTACAGTAATCTCTGCTCAGAGTATTAAGGCATGTTATGATGGCCGGAGTCTTCCCAGGAATAACTTGTCCATAAGTGTTATAACTCAATCCAAGTGGGTACCGCAATGCAGGTGCCGGCTAGATGCGGCCAAATTACCCAACAACAACTGTTTTTGGGGCGCCGGTGCTTCTCTGATATTAGCTATCACGGGGTTGTGCAGGAAAGTGGGCTAAAACTGGCGTCCATTACAGTCCCTTAAATTATCAAATGACTGAATCACCAAGCGAGAAACATGCAGTGAATCCTGCGTTCTGATTGGCTGCGAGCAAGATGAACAATATCTGCCCGCTTGTGATTTTGCGCGTTGGTCCCGCAAGAAGAGTTTTCTTTTTGGCTATACGATGAGTACTTTATTGACTATGTTTGTTGGTTCAAGATGGCGGGAAATCTCCCTCTCTCCTTTTTGCGTTTTCATTGGCCTCGACTTCGTGGAGGTCATAAAAACGCAGAAAAGAACTTGGCCAATATCCAGCTACCTTGACCTCACGCTGGGTCAATAACGCATATATTTAACAATTATTGCACGAGTGCGCGTTGGATATGAGATGGTAGATAGTTGGCTACAATCATCTCCCATCCAACAAGCGCGAGTGGAACAACTGTTTTATTAAAAATGCCTGCAAAATATCGAGAATTCTTCCCGACTTATTTGTAAAAACAACCGATTTTCAGCTTGTTTTTAATTCTGAGCAGAAGCGCACAGTTACCATATTTAGAGAGCAACCCTAGCAAAAGAGTGTGACTTGTTGTGAGTGGTATAATGGCTCATATACCATGATGGCTAAGTCAATCAGAGCTCTAGAATTGCATTATCCAATGACTCAGTTTTTAATAATGCTGTTTAGGTCATGATCAGTTCTGTGCGGAAGTCATTACTTAGTACTTTTACCCATACACAAAATGCTCCTGTAGATTTGTGAAGAATTTATCAAACAAATGTTATCATGGAGCACTAACCATAGAGATTTTTGGGGTAATTTTGAAGGCATATCATAAAATTGGCCCAACATTTTCCAGTTTCAATCCATGTCCATCCTTGTCATCCGTTTGCAACATACGACAGGGAACAGTTTCAATACCTATATATAGTCATAAATAACAAAACTGGACCATTATTTTTGGAATTCAATTTATACCATTTTTTTTAGCTTTTTAAAAAGGTGGCAAATAGCGTAATCAATCATTTATTTTAACACGTTACGTCAAAGAACTAAAAAACTCGTTCAAAATACGAACGTGTATAAATAAAATCTATAATGATTACAGCTATATAATATTATTCAATTTTAAAAACAACTCAATGAATATATACATATAAAAAACTTGGTAATAAAAACAAAATATAAAAAGCTAAAACCGACTAAAAAGCCACATACTAAAAACGCGACTAGGAAAACTATAATACTCGTTCTAAAAACAGTTAAAAGCTACAATCGTGCACTATAAGACACGTTCTAAAAAGCTGCAGTCGTGCAATTTACTTCTGAAGTCATTAGCATCACTTGAAAGTCGCACTTGAGAAGGCAAACTGTTCCATAACTTAGTTAATGAATAAGTGAAAGAATTCTTCTTAAATTTAAGATTAAAGTTAGGTACTTCCAAATTCAAGCCCTCGCGTCTTAGCCTATACGGTGTATGCCTTTCACACGAAAAATAACTATGAAGAGTTCCTTTGTCGGCAACGAAAGCAGAACACACAAAGCAAGATAGTCACTTAGCAAGTTTGACGATAGACTGGAAACATCCATAACTATGTAGGTTATCTCAACAGATGCATGTGTCTGAAAAAAAAAACCAAACACACAGAAAACTGAAAAAATAAAGACAAAACGCCAAAAAAATTCCAAATGCGATTTATTGATGTCCTCAGTACAGCAAAACGTATATAAGCACAACTCCTTCAGTAGACTCTTCAGTCCACTAAAAGAATCTACCGACCTTTAAAAATAAAATTAGATCTGCATAAAGGGAAAGCTTTTATTCTTCTGTGCCATAGCATCGTAGCTCTATTTCTTGATATAAAGTATTTTTACACTTGTATTGAACATTAATAGCGATAAAAAAATCATACCAACAACGACTCAATAACGCTAAAAGTAGCTTTGAATAAATAAAGAGGATTTTTGTGAATTCCTGCAGCTTGCACTCCAGTTGTTTCTAAGTGAAGAGCATCCTTAACTAAGCGTTTTCATGTAACTGAATGAATGACCAAATGCAATATTACTGAAACCATGATGAAAAGAAAGATCGATATAAAACTAGCTTGAACACTAGTCAATCTCTTCCTATCTTCCTGTGCTTTCAAATCAAAGATGGTGACAACATAAAGTAAATACTAGGCGCTTGCTCAGTGTTATAGGCTAAGGAGCTTAAGAAAAGCGATTCTAACAACGATGAAATTTTGCAATTTTTTCTTAGAATGTTTTTTTGAACCATTCACTATTTAATGAGCTATCATGACAGTTTGGGAAGATGTATCTGACACTATTTAAAAAACGGTGTCAAAACTTAACTTTGGCTCACTTCCTTAACACTTATAAGTTTACAGTAAGTGACGTCTAGCGAAGCTTAAGAAAAAGCATTAGTAAACAGTTAAAATATGAAATGCGAACTCATTTTCTACGAAATGACAAATATCCTTGATCCACTTTCTCGACGGGAGTCTACTTAATCAGATAATAAATTACTCATGGTGTCTCTTTTAGAGTACTCCACAATTCTTTGCCTTAGAGGTTCTGATCTATCACATCTTTTACAGACGCACACACTTCTCAAGTGTACACTTTGTTTCTGTGGAAACGAAAAAAAGGGTTGCCATCAATTATGTCCTTCGATCTCTAACGTTTAACGAAAGGAAATTACAGTCAAACTTTGTCTGTGGAAGGTTGGTCGCTTAGAAGAGTTTGGACACCGGAGGTCTTTACTGTGAACGGGTTGGGCATATCTAACTGAGACACGGCATACATAAATCAAAAGATCACCGTCACATTGTTATCACTGCGAATATACCACCTATCGACCTGGCAGTACGCAGAATCTTGGTCACATGAACTTAGTACACCATTTCCGAGTTCCCCCGGGCCTCGGAATGAAAACGAGGTTAAGTGCTCAGCATTTGATATGAAAATGATTTTTCATTCTCATGCGAATAAAACAAGAAAGGTTGTGCACTTGGCCTCATTTTGAAAATGAGGGTTTTTAGAACTTGCGAGTGGCCTATTTAATGCCCCTAGTTCCCAGAAGTCTCTTGTAGCTCAGTGGTAGAGCATCCGAACTGGTGACCAGAAGAAGGTCCTGTGTTCGATTCCCGAGTCGCCCTTGTCGCTGATTAAATAAACATCACCCACAGTATCAAAATCACGTAGTGTCGCAGTACCCATTATTTTGCCATCATATATCAGGTGGCCGCTTCAGAAAAGTTAAAAACAAGAAAACTATTAACACCGCAAAAATGGGTGGCGGCTACTTAAAAATAGAGACAATTTTGACGGTGTAAATGTAGGTACTTTGGATTAGAGGTCGCCTACGAGTAACCTACGATGGGTTCCTTTCTTTTTGAAAGATAACAGGGAGAAAGCAAGATCTCAGTCTACGTGCCAGAGGTGATTGCACACGGATGGTCGACTTAATTACCAAAGTTCTTAACTACATACCCTCCATTAATGGGTCTCCTTTCCTCACTGTTGCCAACCTAAAAAAGTAAGGAACAACGGTAGACAACTTTACATAGAAGACCTTACAAAGAACAGTTCGTTCTGTAGCAAGTGTTAAAACGTGCGGTAATTTATGTTTGGGTTTAATCAACAGAACTTTGAGCGATGAGATAAAAACCACTCCTGCTCCTAAAGTGCTCACGACGTGATATCAAAAACTGCAAAGTTACACACATACTTAAGACACAAAGAACATCTTCACGAACCACCCCTTTGAAATTGGAGTCCTTCCATTCCGGGATACAGGTTAGGGTTTACGTATCAATTAGACTCACCTCAAAGCCTTTTTTCTTTGAAAGTATCACCAAGACTATGGCTACAATAATTAACAGGGAACCCAAGGCTATGAGAAGATACTCAATCGCATATGCTATTGTAATCGCGCGGTAAACTTTATCTTTAAACTCTGTTGCTTTCTCATCACTGATCATTGCAGTCTGTAAAAAAAAAAAAACGCGTAGACGTCAGTAATAACATTTCCCCTTGAGCAGTCTGCAAACACAAAACACGTGGACGTCAGTAATAGCATTTCCCCTTGAATATATGAGATAAATAGTCACCTGTATGCTTGCTACACACGGGCGAGCCTGCGATCAAGCTCCTTATTCAAGCGCAAATAGACTGGCAGCACGCATTGGCACCGAGCGCCTGTGAGTCCGCACACACAATAAAATAAGGTCGGCAATTCCACACTTCAGAAACCGTAAGGGGAAAGGGTACAAACTTTCGGCATCGCAACCACTTCTGGGACCGTTTGGACGGACAAGCGTTACTTACGATGGACCAGTCATAACTAATATAAGGCTTGTTTCTCAGGGATATCCCAGAAATCACTGCAACCAAAAGCATGCACTCTTTCTCCCTATAGTTTCTGATGTGGGAAATCTCATAGACATCACTGTATTTGGTCAACTAGAGCCTTTTCCACTGGAAAACGGCCAGGTCCAGAGAATACTTGTTCGCAGGCTTCACACGAGCGGTTTACATATCACTACTCATAAAAACACTATAATTATATCAGGGACCAAAATCTTAGGAATACGGTCAGCTCTCTCTTAACGGACACCTCTGCAAGACGAACACCTCGCTGAAACAGACAGCTAGAGTTGACCCCTAGCTGCCTTTATTCACTCTTTTTAGGAGACTCTCTATAACACTGACATCTGTCTGAGACGGACACATGGGTGTCAGAGAAATTCGACTGTATGATGAATAAAGAGAACGATCATCAAAGGCAAAATAAATTAAAAGGAATTCTGTTTATTACCACAAATTAAGTGTGGAAATTGGTTAAGATGCATAGAAAATATTCACTACTCCGCATGCAACTAAACGTATCCTACCTCAGCAGCGAACATAACTGGGAGAAACACGGGTTGAAATTTGCCAGTCGTTTGCCTGTAAAAAGAGAAAGAAAATCGAATGCAGTTAGGTTGGTCTACGATTGCATGGAAGCTATCCTTTGCAAAAAATACCATGCCATGGTACTCTATTGAAGGCTTAGGTACTCTCTACACCAACACTCTTTCGTTAACACGCCCTTTTTTTTCAGCAAAAGAGCATAAAGAGCTCCGCATCCACAAAGGCGTTTTTGAATCGTTTTCGAGCCTCCATACCAAGAGATGGAAATGCATTAACGCAAATAATTATGGGGATAAGTATATTTCCCAGATGTGTGTACGATACTTTCGTCTGTTACTGCAGTTTTACTCTCGTCATTATACCGTGCCTGATCGTGTAGCCATGCCGTCAGAGTTTTCGAACAACTTTGTTTATGAACGTCAACACTAAAACGCGGGACTTCCGTTGTCTCGTGTGTCTGATTCCGTGAGCGTTGCCATGCTAAGCCAAAGAAAGCGCATATCTGTATACGTTTTTGCTCTCACTTTAATCTCGAACTGAAGCTATGTGTGATACACCACGCGAATAGCTATGACGACAACATTTTGAGGTGTTTTACGTCGATCTCCAGTAAAATTTTTCTTCTAAAAATATCAAAACACAATTTAGAGAAAGGGTTATGGGACTTAATTTAATGATTACCAAAGAGAAAATGCTTTAATCTTTTATCAAACACAGTATACCGAAAATTGGTATGTGGATATTGGGGCTTAAAGGGTTAAGATGATTTGTATTAGATCACCGATTTCAAAACTGACATCCGCGATTTCATCATTTTCAATACACACGCCTCGTACATGCGGGTTTTTACTCACGTTAAAGTATCTACAGACTCCAAGGCAACATTGATTTGAATTCGTTTAGCAGCACGCATGACCGTTCCTGTAATCTAATGGAGTAAAAACAAAATGAATAAATCACAATTTATTATCCAGTGTCAAAACACAGTAATTACATTCAGTTTAGTGACGTGGATTGGTCAATAGAGAAGAGGTGTGACGTCACGTTACCATGGAAGCAACATTTCTGGATCACAACAATGGGGAGCTTACGCAACAACGACGGCACGCGACGGCAACGAGAACGGCAAAAAAAGCAATCGGTTTGTATTAGCAAAACAACAACTTTGCACGTGCATCACGCTTTTTTGTACATTTCTTAACAACGACTTGAAACTTCCTAATTTCACGCGACGGCTCTATGGAGTAGGCGAACACAACACAAGAATTTTCTTTTTCTTTCACTAAACTCAGATAAGGTTCTTTCGCCAAGATTTTACAAATTAAATGAAATTGAGCAAGATCGATGAAATTTGAAACAGTGTGAATTCACTTTTTAAGTTACGTTTTCGCTTCGTCATTCAGAAATTTTGCTACCATGGCAACGTGACGTAACGACTTCTCCTGTCTATTACATTTTCAGTATTGAACTGATTGTAACTTGTGGTAGATAATTCTTGTATCATCATCTTCCACCTTTCGCGTTTGGAGAGTAAGGGTGGGGCACTGGTGAGAGCACTCGCCTCCCACCAATGTGGCCCGGGTTCAAATTCCGGCGCCGACGCCATATGTGGGTTGAGTTTATTGTTGGGTCTCTCCCTTACTCCAAGAAGTTTTTCTCAGGTTACTCCAGTTTTAGCCTCTCCTTAAGAAAGCAACATTTTCAAACTCCAATTCGATCTGGAAGCATCGCAAGGACACAATTAAACAAGTTCTGAGAATTCCTAAGTTACACAAATTACCAACAATTTACAATTACAATCAGGTTGCAGCACACAATTTGCTAGTATCCTTCGCAGCCGTTATTACGGTCGCGTCACGACCCTAATAACGGCTTCGAAGTAGACCAATAATTTACCGACCCATGACAAGATTTTAGCAGAGTTATGAAGACCATCCCTCCTTTTCATTCAGTTTACAGATTTGTTACTTACCGGCTCCACGTCGACAAACGTTTCATGTAGACTCTTCTGCGGGTCGAGACCGTGAACTGCTTCTACCAAACTCTTGTTTCCTTGATAAAAATGTGGTGGCGAAATAATAACAGGTGGATCTGAAAGCCAGAGAGTATAATCTTAGTTGTGCAATAGAACGGGAGCCATGAACAGCGAGTGGAAAAGTAAAATTATGGAAATTATGGTAGAAAGGAGGAGTGATTAGGGCGGAGAGAGGAAAAACGACTTTTTGTTTTTATTTTTTATTCGCTCGGGTTTCCGCTCTGGTTCCTCGCGGCAAGCCGCTCGCCCCTCACACGTGAACTCGATCTACTCCGCCGTGACCAAAAAGAAAAATACAAAAGGCAGCTGCCGTCGTCATTGCTAGAGCTTCCAAATACAAACTTTTAACTGAAAATGACGTGATGGCTGAATAGACGGCTTAAACCTCTTCGCCCCCTACCTCCCAACAATATATACATGTTCGTCTGTATAAAAATCACGTACATCACCCACCCACAAACCCAACTACCAAACTACCAATAGCACGTTCCCTCGTCTTTCTCGTTCCCAGGACTCCAAGAGGACGCCGACGGGAAGAGAGAGAACCTGGGAACGAGGCTGGGGCAGAAAATCTCGGAGTTTTCTCGGAGCGACTTTATTATGAAGAGAGCCAATAATGATAACTTACTTTGTGGTTGACATCGGCTGATGTCGAGCAAACCAGTTGGCAAACAGCTATTTGAAGGTACACAGAATCCTTTGTTGGCTTCATACACGTCACCGCTGAGATAAAGCTCTTTGGGAGCAATAAATCGGTAAAGTTTGATGCCTTTGACCTTCACAGTGGACTCGTAGGTAAAATAGACGGATCTGTCACAACAAAAAAAACAAAACAATAGTTCTTAAACTTGACTCAGAAACTACAGAGGAGACTCTGTCCTAAATTGATGATACTAAACTCGTAACATGCTACGGTGAAAGAGTTTGACGTCTTTAACTGCTAAGGTCGGGGGCAAAGGTCAAACTTCACAAACAGGTAGCCTAATGCTAATGACACGGGCCTTAGTGTACATACAGTAATTTTCCATGAAACTTTCCTTGGCTGGCAACCATGACGCCAAGTTTGGCAAATTAGGCGTACTTCTGATTTCTCAAGGTTTTTCAACCCTTATCAGCTCGTTGGCTCGAATTTAAAATGCAACACGTGCAACACCACTGATCATAAACTATGGCCAATTCTCCAAGGCACACTTATAATCATACCTGCATATTTCAGGTGAATATGCATACAACACAGCATCTTTAGAAACTCTTGGAGCAAACTGAGTACCATCTGCAATCAAATAATGAGTCACAAGCTTGGTTTTTGTAATCTTTTCACAATCATTATTGAAGGGAAAGAGCCTATACATGATCATGTATACATGCTTATCACCTACAATGCGTGCAATTCTGTACTTGGTTTTGGCTCCATTAGAGTGTTCAGAAAAAGATTCGTTTGGTCCATTGCTGTCACTTTACTGTCAACTCATGCCTTAAGAAACCCTCAACAGTTTTAAGACACCCTGATAATACAAACTACAGCTTAATCCTAGAAAAAAAAGGAGAGGAGGGGGAAGAAAGAGGGGAGATAGAGGGAGGGGGGGCAGAGGGAGAAATTCCTGCAATTACAAATGCTCACCATAAAAAGTACATTGGCTGCCTACCAATAACCGTGTCTCTCCCCCCCCCCCCCCCACCCCCCCAAAAAAGAGCACCTGCACAATAATCCCATTTGTAGCTTAGCCTACCACATTGGTCAGATATCTTGCAAATTCAGTTGATTTTTCCATGGTGTAAGAGTTGTGAGTTTTTCACACCCGATTTAACCTAATTAAATTACATAAAACTTAAAATCACTGAATTATCAGTTTTTTATCTGCACTGTAAACATACCTGAGCCATTGATCATGTTTGCATATTTGTCACTCCACCAATATAAATGACTGCAGAATAAAATGAAATTCAATACTGATTTCTTGAAATTTAAGGGGTAAAAAAACCTTTTAAGCAAAAATTTCAACAATTGACTTTTCCAAGCACTTTTCTTGGGCAAAGTTCTAAGGCATTGCACTTCTTTGGCTCTGGTTTTTGCTGCAGTTTTACAGAGTATGAAAATTTTACAGTGGATTGTGAGTTGAATTGAGTACCTTCCCTGGGTAAATACTTACGATTGTCCTCTCCACATGGTATATTGCTCCAATTTGCTTATTTTAACTTGTCCAGTGTGAACAGCACTGATGCCATAGTATGTATTATTATACTGAAAAATACAAATGAGGTTTAACTCAAACAAATTCAATTTGTTTATTATCTGTGATAAAATCCTTGACTTTTTTCCCACAAACTTTTCCATTTTTCTACAACCTTCAGTAACCCTGTCACATTTGAAAATTTTCATAAGTTCCTTGTTTCAGGGTATTTTCTGACATAGCATAAATGTTTTATATGGGGAGGCTCCTCCCCGAGGTCCAACCCCTGTCAATGCACTCTATACTTGTCTGTCACAGACATAAAGTGCATCTGTTTGTTCTTTTTGGGCCCTTTGACAGACCAAAATGACAGAATTCTCTACCCTTTCAAACATGTCTACTTCAACTGGAGAAATACCTTTCCCTTTCATGTTCTGAAGCCTGGACATGGTACCGCTTTTATCTAGGTTGGAACCTCCCCATATAGGCCATTATAGGAAGTATACCCCCCTGCCAAAACCCAACCCCCCCCCCCCCCCCCCAGGCTTTCTGTAAACACAGCAGTACAAAATAATGATAATACAAAAACATGTTGTTTTTTTTACACCACCACGAACCTGCAACTGAACAAAAGATGACAATCCTTTTTGGCCTGGACAGTCAAATAGTGGATTCTTCAAAAACTCCAAAAATGGATCGGTGTATCCCCAAAGAAGCTCAAACACTGTCCTCTTTTGGAACAGCTTGACTTTGTATATATAAGCTTCAATATCCAATCCCAGCAGGCACCACCCATGCTCTTTCCTATAGTTAGTGTTTTTCAACCACAGTGCCACAGTCTGCAAAGGAAAACAACAGAAAAATGCTCTTACTCAAAGCTGGTTAATTAGACGGAGAGGAGTTCAATTAGGGAGTGATTTTAGACAATTAAACCAGATGACTGTGTGGCAGGAGTCCGGTTTGTTTTAATAAATCACAAATAGGATTACAGAGCGAATTGGACGACACAAAGTTCTGTCACCAATTAATCATAACAGAAAAACTATAGCAAAGTTTGTGATGTTTAATACCTTTTTAAAATTAAAAATACAAGATATTCAGAGTCTTGCTGCACTGTAAAAGGTGCTTGCATGTGATGATGCATTCTGTCCAATTACTTACTAAGCATGAAAAATATACTGTCTTACACCCTGCCCTGTTAGTGCTTAACGGGGACAGCTGATGGCCAATCAGATTTAGGAATTTTGTTATTTTTATATAGTTCACGATCAAAGCTGGTTAAAGAGCACAGCACCAGTATTAGTTTCCTTTAACCTCAATTAGTGTGGTGCACCCATCTAACTAGGGGTGTACTTCTGGATATTTCAGATGACAAACAATGATAAAAGCTATTTTAAAATAGACTGAAAAATCACACGTCTCCATCCCATAACCTGTGGGGGGCGATAGAGAGAGACGTCTGAATTTCGACCGTTATAATTCTGTCTGTTGACATGACCTACTTTTGCGAATATGGTAGGTACATGTATTTTCTGATTGGCTATTACCTTTCCGAAATAGATAAAAAATAATTATTTACTAAGCTGTTCATGATTTTGAATTTTTTGGAATTTTTTGAGTTTCAATTAAGTTACCACGCATATTTCTACATTCCAGTAAAGTTGTTTTGCTGTGTCAATGAACAGCAAAAACAATACTTTTTGTTCTAAAACCTTGTTTAGTGGTGTGGTGGAGCTTGAATAATTTAATATAAATAATTTGTACAATTATTCCAACAATAAGAATCATTAAGATATTTAAAGTACACAATCATAGCAGAGCTCCATTAGCATGTGCGAAGCAGGCGCAAGCAGAGCTCTATACCTGAGAAAATTTAGTAATCATATGACTGTATGTCCACCCATTCTTCTGCATCACAGGGAAACCAATGTGAAATGTCAAACTGTCTAGCTAGTGTAGGAGCCTGTAACCAGTGTTTAACTTGATGACAGGCAACCATATTATGATGAAATGACAGCTGTCAAAACAGGGTATCCACTGACCAGAGTCACATTATCATATTTATGGGCTCAAGTGACAACTCATCGAGGTCATGTGTTTTTTCGTGCTGACCAGTAATTAGCTTTTAATTGATTGCAGGCTCAAGTGTAGGTTTTTCAGTCATATGGTTCTCATCTAAAGTTAACTATTGATTTGTGGATTTCTTTGCAATGGTTTTAAGACAGAATCCATTAGGAAATTGGGTAATTTCAATTTCCAGTGGACAAAAGCCTTGTACCAGAATAATTTACACAATATCGCATTCTTTTTAAAAAATTTTTTTTCAAAGGCTATAGATAATTAGTTATCGGTGATAACGCCAAAAAAAATGTCTTATGGGAGCCCGAGAAAATGAATGACACAAAATTACATTTAACACATGAAATTTTCAAACCAGGCTATAGATTTGATTCATTTTCTTGGACTTAAGAAATTTTCTTTGGTGATAACGCCAAAAAAAGAATGCAATATACATTAAATTATTCTGGTGTAAGGTTTTTGTCCACTGAGAATTAAAATATTACTCAATTTCCTAATGGACTCTGTAAAGTCCAAAGTCTCAAGTAAATTTAAAAGGCATAAACTGGAGCTTGCTTTTAGCTCTAGCTAAATCTATATATTACCAGTAGTGGTATATTGACAGTAAAAAAAGTGTCATTCTTGTCATCACAGCCATCACATGATGTTTCTGGATCAAAAATATATGTTCTATTTGGCATGAATGTCACAATGCTGTGATCTCTGGTCCAGTTGAGCACCTCATTCGATCTAAGTTCTCTGATATGAAAGAGTGTTCAAAACATTAGTCATATAATATACCAATGATGATATTCTACTTATTACAAAAATACAAGTCAACAAGTGTAATTACAGAACCAGCATATTTCCTAACTTGCCCAAATATGGGCAACTGAATTTTTTTTTGGGTGGGGGAGAATTCAAATATTTACAGAAGCAAGATACGACAAATTGTTTAACTTCCTGCTAGTATAGATTCATGTGTTTCGAAAGCTGTTTTTCAAGCTGATCTGACAAAGTAAAATTATTAAAATCAATTAATATATTACAACAAATGAATCAATGATATAACAAACAAAATG